CTACAGTTTCAAATCAAAAATGTTAGGTTATATGTAATAAATCATTCTTCCAATTCTTTAGCTTAATGATTTTTATAGACTTTATCATCAATACTCTCCTGTCATCCATAATGTTCTATATGACTAGTAACAAAGTAAAGTGAATACCAAACAACTTAGGCTGAATCCGGTCTTACCACAAATGTTTAAAAAAAAGATGAAAATTTCCTTGAATTTTTAAAGTAATCCACATTTCTTTTTCAATGTGTAAACTCACTCAACTTTTCACTCCTCACTATGTAACACAATAAAGGTTGACCCACTGCAAACACATTTTTAGTGGGAAGTGATGAATATTAAAAAAATCTGAAAAATATTATTTTTTCTCCACTTCAATTCATTCCTATTCTATAGCAATAAAGATACTGAAATTGAAATAAGTACCCAGAACACTAAGCATACATTCAAATAAAACCTAAAAGAAATCAATTAATCTTAAAATAAAATTATATATACTTTTCAAAAATTATAATTTCACACTTTTCCCCATCTGGTGTGGCTTGGTGCCCACTAATCCCCACTCTTTCACATGGCATCCCTTTTATAAACAAAATTCACTTAGAACAATGTCAAGTTTCAGAGAGAAAGTTTTATGGTATGTCCAAATGGCCTTTTTATAAAGCTCTAATCAAACTTAATTTAAGAAACATGATTAAGTCTTCAGTTTGTTTTATATTGTGCTCTTCACAACCAAAATGTCATGAATTAAGTAAAATTATTCTGTTGTCTCCTTTTCTCAGTATCTTATTCTACAGACCCTGAAGAATTTTTCTGTTTCACATTCACATATCTGTCCTCGTTTCAAAGTTCCTTTTGGTCCTCAAGAACCTTTCATGACCCAGAAGGTTCATGTAAAAACACAAGTTATCTCTAAATTTCAACAAACCATTCTCTCTCCTCTTGATACCTACATGAAGTCGAGGTGACAAGCAGAAACAGGAAAGTTCTACAGTAACTTCTACCAGACACTCAATTCCTTTTATAACAAAGTTTACTTAAGTGGGATTATACAGATGTGCAATCTAATTAAAAGGCAGAAAAATACATATATGAGGTTCTATGAACACTGTTTTTATATATGTGAACTGAGTGAATATATCAAGCTACTTTTAAAAATTGAAGTATAGCTGATTGACAATAAAATGTTAGTTGCAGATGCATGGCACAGTGATTCAGTACTAATATACACACACACATATGTATATATTTAGCACAGTGATTCCATCTTATTTATATATGTCTTACATATTTTATTATATATATTCTCCTTCAGATTCTCTTCCCTTATAAGTTATTACAAAATATCAAATATAGTTTTCTGTGCTTTGCAGTAGGTCCTTATTAGTTACCTAATAAGTTAATAATAATAAATTAATCCCAGCCTCCTAATTTCTTACTTCTCCAACCTCCACTTCACCCTCTGGTAATCATAAGTTTCTTTTCTATGTCTGTGAGTCTCTTTCTGATCTGGAAATAAGTTCATTTGGATTTTTTTCTTAAGTTTCCACATATAAGCCATGTCATAAGATAAAAGCTCATTTTTTTCTTAAATAAAGGTAAGTGGAATACGATAATCAAGATAAGCACGTCTAGAGTTGAGATATGCAGCAGAAACTGTATTTACAGTTAGTTGGAATACAAGATTAAGAATGATTTAACTTCCTACTCTCGAATAAAACAGTGTCCACACCCATTTAAGAGAAAAAGTAGAACGACTAAACATTTAAAGGAGTTTTGAGGAGGATCATCTGCTAAGATTTACAAGGTAAATCTAGAGTCAAAATTTAAATCAGCATCTATTACATAAAACTTTTTTCTCACCATGATTTGGGATAACCACCAAGAATTAACACTCTGATCATGTCATGAAGTGAGTTACAATGTAAGACCATTTTAATATGACTGACTGGGCTCTGGCTTTAGGAGTAAAAGGCAAAGGGAACATACTCACGGCTTCTTTAAGGATAATAGTTCACTTCTAATCTATGAAAGGAAAGATTGTATTTTTAAAAAGTTAAGGATGCAAGACTTCAGTGGCAGTAGAGTGGTTAAGACTCTGCACTCCCAATGCAGGGAGCCTGGGTTCGATCCCTAGTCAGGGAAATGGATCTCACATGCTGCAATTAAAAGTTCACATGCACAACTAAAAGATCCCGTGTGCTGCAACTAAGACCTGGCACAGATAGACAGACATTTTTAAAAGTTAAGAATTCAAGAAGTACAAGAGAAAATGTAAGAAACCTAGATGGAGGCCAATTCAGAAAATTAAGCATACACTAATAAGAGTTCCAGAAAAAATTAATGGAGGGGGAGAAGTATTAAAGACATAGTAGACAGACTTCTGGAGACAGACTTTCATTTAAAAGGGCCCATCAAATGTACACTTGCTCCTTAAGAAAAGTGATGACAAGCCTAGATAGCATATTAAAAAACAGAAACATCACTTTGCTTTCAAAGGTCCATCTAGTCAAGGTTATGGTTTTCCTGGTAGTCATGTACAGATGTGAGAGGTGGACCATAAAGAAGGCAGAGTGCCAAAGAAATTGATGCTTTTTAAACTGTGGTGCTGAAATAGAAAGCCCAGAGATAAATCCACGCACCTATGGACACCTTATCTTTGACGAAGGAGGCAAGAATATACAATGGAAAAAAGACAATCTCTTTAACAAGTGGTTTTGGGAAAACTGGTCAACCATTTGTAAAAGAATGAAACTAGAACACTTTCTAACACCATACACAAAATAAACCCAAAATGGATTAAAGATCTAAACATAAGACCAGAAACTATAAAACTCCTAAAGGAAAGCATAGGCAAAACACTCTGACATAAATCACAGCAGAATCCTCTATGATCCACATCCCAGAGTAATGGAAATAAAAGCAAAAATAAACAAATGGGACCTAATGAAACTTAAAAGCTTTTGCACAACAAAGGAAACTATAAACAAGGTGAAAACACAGCCTTCAGAATGGGAGAAAATAATAGCAAACAAAACAACTGACAAAGAATTAATCTCAAAAATATACAAGAAACTCCTGCAGCTCAATTCCAGAAAAATAAATGACCCAATCAAAAAATGGGCCAAAGAACTAAACAGACATTTCTCCAAAGAAGACATACAGATGGCTAACAAACACATGAAAAGATGCTGAACATCACTCATTATCAGAGAAATGCCAATCAAAACCACAATTAGGTACCATCTCACACCAGTCAGAATGGCTGCTATCCAAAAGTCTACAAGCAATAAATGCTGGAGAGGGTGTGGAGAAAAGGGAACCCTCTTACACTGTTGGTGGGAATGCAAATTAGTACAGCCACTATGGAAAACAGTGTGGAGATTTCTTAAAAAGCTGGAAATAGAACTGCCATATGACCCAGCAATCCCACTTCTGGGCATACACACCAAGGAAACCAGATCTGAAAGAGACACGTGCACCCCAATGTTCATCGCAGCACTGTTTATAATAGCCAGGACATGGAAGCAACCTAGATGTCCATCGGCAGATGAATGGATAAGAAAGCTGTGGTACATATACACAATGGAATATTACTCAGCCACTAAAAAGAATACATATGAGTCAGTTCTAATGAGGTGGATGAAACTGGAGCCTATTATACAGAGTGAAGGAAGTCAGAACGAAAAACACCAATACAGTATGTTAACACATATATATGGAATTTAGAAAGATGGTAACGATGACCCTATATGCGAGACAACAAAAGAGACACAGATGTAAAGAACAGACTTTTGGACTCTGTGGGAGAAGGCGAGGGTGGGATGATCTGAGAGAATAGCACTGAAACATGTATATTATCATATGTGAAACAGATCGCCAGATCAGGTTCGATGCTTGAGACGGGTGCTCAGGGCTGGAGCACTGGGATGACCCTGAGGGATGGGATGGGGAGGGAGGTGGGGGGGGGATCAGGATGGGGAACTCATGTACACCCATGGCTGATTCATGTCAGTGTATGGTAAAAGCCACTACAATATTGTAAAGTAATTAGCCTCCAATTACAATAAATTAAAAAAAATAAAATACACTGTGGTGCTGGAGAAGACTCTTGAGACCCCCTTGAACAGCAAGGAGATCAAATCAGTCAATCCTAAAGGAAATCAACCCTGAATATTGACTGGAAGGACCGATGCTGAAGTTCCAGTATTTTGGGCACCTAAAACAAAGAGCCAACTCACTGGAAAAGATTTTGATGCTGGGAAAGACTGAGGGCAGGAGAAGGGGATAACACAGGATGAGATGGTTGAATGACATCACTGACTCAATGGACATGAGTTTGAGCAAACTCTGGGAGACAGTAAAAGACAGGGAAGCCTGGCGTGCGGCAGTCATGAGATTGCAAAGAGTGGGACATGACTGAGTGATTGCACAACAACCACGAAATGTTGTGCAGAAGTCCAAAAAATGCCCACTCTCAGAAACATTGCTATAAAATTCACAGTAGGTCATGAGTGGGAAAGGGTAGGCCAAAAGAATCACTGTCTTCCATGACTGATCCTTAGAGGCTATTTGATTTTTTGAAAAACATTATTTCATGATGATAAACATTAAATTCAAGATGATGTCATTTATATTCATATGTCAACACATTTAAAGTTACAGTTAAGCGTCCTAGCTAAATATTTATAATTATACATCCAAAAAGCTACATATATACCCTGAAAATGGAGTACATGCACAACTAAATAAAATCTCATGTATTTTTACATGAGATCATATCTCATCTTATTTCATGTGTTTTCAAGTTTATAACTTCACAGGAAAGCTTTTAAGCAAATAAGTCAAAATAAAATTAATGTCACAATGATGCTGCTTGACTAAAGGCCTTGCCAAAACTTGCCAGAAGCGTGCAACCATTGTCATGAATATATGACTATAGAAAAATGCATTTAAACCATCAGAAATACAGCCTGCAGGACTAATAAAAGGTAAGTAATTACCTGCTGCGGGATCTGTAACTGCTTGGCTGGTAATGCCAGATGGCGGCTCCTGAAGCTGGTAAGTGGCATTCGTGGACGGCGTTGTTGGACTGCTGCTGCTACCCGTCATGTAATGTGCTGGATACGGTGAGCTGTTATAATACTGTGCATACTGACCCTGGCCGAAACTGGGATAAGATGGATAGTCCTACCAAATTAAACCACACAAGAACAATCAGTCAGAATACAGCTGCTGCCTTCTTACATTTCAGAGTATAACCATCAATACGCTGGCATCTCTGTCTTCTCTGAATTCACAAAGGAACACACAAGCACACACTGACTGAAGTGCAAAGACATGCAAACCAAGTTTAGGTAAGACTGGATTCCCTCTTCGTATTTCTTCTATTTCAGGTTGCATTATTAGGTAAAATTTAACCAATCTGAAAACCAAATGACTCACCATATAGGAATGAATGCTAAAGACATTTTTTGAAAAAAAAATCTATCAGAAAGTTTAAGAAAGCTCTCAATTATAGTGCAATATAAATGGATCTTTCTTTATATAAGAAAATCATCTATTGTACTTTTTTTTAGTTTCAGAAGTCAACATGGCTCTTAAAATTACCTGCTGTGAGCTGTTAAATCCAGAGGAATTTGTGAGTGAATTATTTCCTGTATATAATCCTGATGATGTTGTAAAACTGCTACCTAAAATAAAATGAAAAGAAACATGAGTGACTAAGCCATGTCGAGTAATGTGTCTATAGGAAATTATTATTTAGATAAAGCAGAGCTGGGGTTCACTGCAAATGCATTTGGTTTATCTTGAAACCAGAATAAATTGCCGTAGCTAAAATTCTGGTTTCATAAAACGGCTGACAATTTTAGTATCACTATACAACTGAGAATTCATAAGTAAAGAGGTTTACATTTCTGAGGACATGAGGAACTCATAAACTATGGACAAAATTATGTATTTGTTTAAAATATCAGACACCTAGCTTTCCATTTCAATTTGTAAAATGCATAGAATTTTCACATCTTTACATTAAATATGCTTATTGTAAAGTAGTGGGATCAGATTAGATGATCTTTAAAATTCCTGCTAGCTCAAAAACTATGATGCTCCTTCCAAAAGCCCAAGATGCTTTCCAACTGGCACTTGTTATCTGAATGGCCCATGGAAGAAGCTGATTATTTTATTTCACAGAAGAGTGAATGGAAGCACTTGGAGTATTTGATAAAACAAAGATCAGAGAGGAATATGTGCTGTGTAGGTAATATTCTATTTGTCGAATGTCTCTGTACTCTAAAACAAACAGCAGAGTTGTACAGGATTCAAACCAAAAAGCAAATCTTAGTTTTCTCCTTCAACAGATTTACTATCTTTTTGTTTAGTCATGTAAAGCAACAATATACTGTTTTTTTTAATTGAAGTATAATTGATTAACAATGTTAATTTCTGCTGCAGAGCAAAGTGAATAGATAATATATATACACATATTCTTTATATTCTTTTCTATTATGGTTTATCTCAAGATATTGAATCTAGTTCCCTGTGCTATACAGTAGGACCTTGTTGTTCACCCATTCTATTAAACAGTTTCCATGTGCTAATCCCAAACCCTCAGTCCATACCTCACTCACCCCACAGTCCCCTCAGCAACCACAAGTCTGTTCTCTACGTCTGTGAGTCTGCTCCTATTTCATAGGTAGGTTCATTTGTGTCATATTTTAGATTCCACATATAAGTCACATGACATTTGTCTTTCTCTTTCTGACTTACATCCTTTAGCATGATAATCTCCAGGTCTATCCATGTTGCTGCAAATGGCATTATTTCACTCTATTTTATGGTTGAGGAGTATTCCATTGTGTGTGTGTGTGTCTGTGCGTGCACGTGCGTGTGTGTATTCAGTTCAGTTGCTCATTCGTATCCAACTCTTTGTTACCCCATGGACTGTAGCATGCCAGGTTTCCCTGTCTATCACCAACTATATATATATGTGTGCGTGTGTATATATATATATATATGTATAGGTATATACACACACACACACATCCCATCTTCTTATCCATTCATCTGTCAATGGACACTTAGCTTGTTTCTATGCTTGAATATTGTGAATAGTGCTGCTATGAACACAGAGGTGCATGTATCTTTAATAATACACTATTTTTGACTATCATTTTAGTGAAGATTTTTTAAAGGCCAGGGATTAGCAAACGTGTAAAAAATGGCATTCAAACATACAAAAAATTAAATAAGACAAGCTACTGGGCTATTTGGTCATAGTCAAGAATATTATATACCATTTTAACCCAGTAATTATATCGCTAGGCTTTTACTCTAAGAAAAAAATATGATCTATACTACGAGGTAGTTAGCAAAGATGTTCTTCAGTGTTATTTCTAATAATCAAACACAGAAAGTAACCCCGAGTCCTTAATAGACATTATTCAGAAAATGGAATATTAGGAAGCTGTTGAAAAAGCATCATAATGACATTTAACAACATTGGAAATAGTTGCATACTAATTTTTTAAAACAAAAACTTAAGCAATGAAAATGTTTTTTGTGATCTCATTTGAAACATTTTTAACAGCATAAAATATTTACAAAAAGCACAAAAGTCTCAGAATCTATGGAGGGGTGCAGTCTATGGTCACAGAATATTCATGGAGCCAATGATCATTTTTAAATTTTCTACTCAGAACCTGTGTTACTTTTGTAAATAGAAAAACCATTCTTTAAAACAAAACTTGCGGCAAATGAGCAGTCTAGGCAGTAAATGTGTTGGTGGTTTAAGGAGGATGTCTTCAGTGTGAACCACCTATTCACAGATGCCTTCAGGTACGACATGCTAGTTAATATACATCAATTATGTACTTACTACTGAACATTTAAGTACTGGCTAAAAAGTCAGAAAACAGTAGAGTTTCCAGTTCATTACTTATGAGCTGTTTGGACTCTGGAAAAATCACCTAACTGTTCTAAGACATAATTTCCTTAGCTGCAAAAACTCTATTTCATAGGCTTCTTAAACAGATCAAATGAAGTTTTGGAGAATCTAACGAACAAGCCATAGTAACACACAAATGTTCAGAACTGTTACGGTTTATCCCAGTAAACCTTTCTAAAATTCTCTACTGTATTTATGTATCTTCTCCCTCTTTTGACTTTCCCAAACTAGAGAAGCATGGCAATATCCTTGCATATCTAAAATTCTTTTCCTACCTACTTATCAAGTAACTACGCACTTTGAAAAACCAGTCAAGGACTTGCTATTTTTATTAAGAAAAGAAAATATTTCCTAAGATAGTTTAAATGTTATCACAGAATCATATTTGAGGTTTCCTCATTTGTAAATTTTAGGAATACCAGTTGTTCAAAGTTCCCAGAACACCTATTATAGAGAAGCAGAAAGTTATTATACTACTAATACTTATTCTACCACGAAAGTAGGAGTATCACTATAAAAGTTTTTTATATTGTTCCTCTGCATGTGGCAACCACATAGTCATTTTAAAAGTTTTGAATATAGGGCTCATGGTGATAAATACATGAGGAAAGAAGAATGATTAAGATACAGGCTTGGACCTCGAAGGCTTATCAGGTTAACATTAGCTTTTTTTAAAAAAAAAAAAAAAAAAACAATGGACTTCCTGGGCAAATGTATTCCTTCTATAGATCTATATATCAGGAAAATTACTAGAAATCTATAAAAATATATGACAAACTTATAATGAACATTTTTAAAATTTCTTGTAAAAAACTCAAATTTATTGTGGATAAGAGTGTGACTATCAATACTTTTCAAACTTTATTATATATATTTGACAGAAAAAAATTACTCTCGGTTATGACTTGTAACTTTCATTTAAACTACACATTTTTGGGTTATGACTTGCTACTTTTATTTATACTACAAATTTTTGAACTGTAAATACTGACCTCAATAATCCCCATCCACTGAGAAAATGAATAAGATATAGAAAATATATTTTTTAAATGGATGTTTTTGTTCCATAACTTATTCCCTGGAACAAAGTAGAAAAGACCATGGAAGCTATATTGGCACATATAGGCCACTAGGGTCTGACCATGTAAATCACAGCTCAGTACTCTTAATGGTACCCAAGTGATTTCCCAGACTTCATGCTACTTCGACGACTGTACATTAGCTGGAATTCACCATAAGTTACACTCATTTACTGGCTGACTGCAGGCTGAGATTCCATTCCGTTTCATATGCAGGAGCAGGAGTTTAACGGCACTCCAGTGGCCTACGAGACTTAATGCAACTTCCACAAGGATCTATGTCAGGCAGAGGTGGACAAGCTGGGGAGAATCAGGCTCAGGCAATATTAATTTTTAACCCCCAGAATCAGACCAGTAGGGCCTCCCCACCCACCTCCATATGTGACAGAGAGTTGCTAAACTTTTAGTCCAGGCCACCAGCATTGGATGTCTTCAAGAGCCTCCTTTCCTAGCTTCCTGCCCATCTTCTGGCTCCCTGCAGCTCACTCTCCACACCAGCAGTAGAATACTTTCTCTGAGGTACATATTTCATCTTCTTACTCCCTGTTCAAAAAAGTAACACCCCCTAGTACCCTCAGGATCAAATTCAAACTTATCAGGGCTTATGTATTAGGCCCTAACTGAGCTTCCCTGGTGGTTCAGATGGTAAAGAATCTGCCTGCAATGCGGGAGACCTGGGTTCAATCTCTGGGTTGGAAGATCTGAAGGACGGCATGGCAACCCACTCTAGCATTTTTGCCTGGAGAATTCCCATGGACAGAGGAGCCTGGTGACTAACAGTCTATGGGGTCGTAAAGAGTTGGACATGACTGAGCGACTTAAGCACAGCACAGCACCTAGTGTGAATTCAGTCTCTTAGATTTCTCTTGTCTTTTCCTAGGAATGCTGACCACACACCCACACAGATACACATTGCAGCCTCGCACATACTTTTTTATACTAAGAAAGTAATCACACTCATCAGGCATTTACAGAATGGAAGTTTCTCAGAAACCGTTTTGGGTATCGTGGCCCTTGAGCTGGGCTAAACAAAGCTCACAGGGAACAAAAAAGTGAAACAAAATCACTCAGTTATGTCTAACTCTTTGGGATCCCATGGACCATAGTTCACCAGGCTCCTCTGTCCATGGAATTCTCCAGGCAAGAATACTGGAGTGGGTTGCCATTCTCTTCTCCAGGGGATCTTCCCAACCCAGGGGTCAAACCTGGGTCTCCAGCATTGCAGGCTGTTTCTTTCCCATCTGAGCTGCCAGGGAAGCCCCAGGGAACAAAGGGTCCCACTCTAACAGCTGATCTGATTCAGAGTGGGTACCAGTACTTCCAGATGAATTTCACCAAAGCTTAGAACACCACAAAGCAAAGGCAAAACAGCGATGACAATACTTCCAAGAAAGCTTCTGTGTATATAGCTACTAAACCCACTTCCTATCTACACAGGCCTGGGAGACAAGACACAATTGTGCAGAAGGCTGCCATGTACCAGACTTAAGTATGGATGGTGCAGGGGAGAAAGGGCAAGCCATGACAAGGAAAAACGGATCCCTTCTTCCATTAAGATCCATCCTCTAAGACAGCAGACCCCAACCTTTTTGGCACCAGGGACTGGTTCCATGGAAGATAATTTTTCCACAGACCTTGGGTGGGGGTTGGATTATTTCAGGATGAT